AGAAAGAAAGAAAGAAAGAAAGAAAGAAAGAAAGAAAGAAAGAAAGAGGGAGGGAGGGAGGGAGGGAGGGAAGGAGGGAAGGAGGGAAAGAGGAAAAGAAAAAGAAAAAGGAATCAGGCATGATGTTGCACACCTTTATTCCCAGCATTCAGGAGGCAGAGACAGGCAAATCTCTGTGAGTTCGAGGCCAGCTTGGTTGCCTGATCTTTACAGATTGAGTTACAGGTCAACCAGGGCTGTTACACAGAGAAAGCCTGTCTCAAAAGAAAAACAAAAAAGAGGGCTGTCTTATCCAAGACTAGAGTTCATAGAAAAGAAATTTAACCAAGGCACCTTGTGGAGAATAAGGATATATATATCTCTGAACTATCTGAATCCAGTCCCAGTGAGCATGTGTGTGTGAAGGAGAAGGGAGAAGAGGTCTTAGGGGCAAAGTTCCTGGTGTGGACCAGAAAGGAAGTCAGCCTGACAAGAATAGCTCAGTCAGTCTAAAGGGGAGCAAGCCTGGTTCCTCTTGCCTCAATGTATCAAAATGAAGTAATTCCCTCATCCTCCCTAGCAGGTCTCAGTCCTCCCAATTAATATTTTAGCCTAATTATTCTGGCAAAAATCAGCCCAGGGGTAGCAACCAGCCTAAGATCCCAGGACAGAATCTAGCCTTGAAGCTAGTCTTTGAAGTCTAGTCTTCATCATTTTCTTCCCCAGTCAAATCCTCCGTTCTTCATTCAGGCATTTGAGACTCTGTTTTATCCACCCTATCCAAAAGGGACCCTGGTCTTCTGGGACACTCTTAGGAACCCATTATGGGAGTTTAATATGGTGGGCCAGAGTGTTTATGCCCTGAAGTGAAGCATGGAACCCAGAGTGACATCTTGTTACCTGTACCCTTTTTTCTCAATCTAGATCTTCAAAAGCAGGGTTAGAATGCTTTTAATGTCAAACCTAGCTCTAACATATAGCATACAGCAAGCATCAGAAAACATGGTCATCATTAGCTGCGACTGTAAAAAGAGAACCCAGGAAATGAATAATGATGGATCCCATGTATCCCAGGGCCTGTTCTCATGTTGAAACTACTTGTTTCTGTAGACTACACATTTTATAGCCTTCTGCCACAAGGGGTCCTGCTGTTGGGACCAAGATCTCCTGGTGTCATGGAAGTGCCAATCACCTTTGTAGACAGAATCAGAATGGCAGGGGCAAAACTAGATTCAGGAATGTCCCTCCTTAGGTGACCAAAAAAGCCAGCATTTGTTCACTCAATTGCTCATTTAGCACATACTCATTGGGTACCTACTATGTGCCCTAGACAGGGTAATAGGAATATAGGAAGAAAACAAGAGAAAACAATCTCTGTCCTATTGGAGCTCAGAGATCAAGTTCATTTTTTTTGTCATTTATCTCTTTTGTGACCTAGTGAATTCAGTCTATAGACTTTTCTCACAAAAAAAAATCTTTTAAAATCAGAAAAAATATCTAGAATTAGAAAGAAAGCCAAATATTGAAATATTAAAATACAGAAAAAATATGCTCTCTCTGTCTATATGTATATATATATATTGCCTATGAACCCATTAAATTGTAAGGTGATATGGTTTAATGACTACAATGATTATCATGATTTTAGATGTATTTTTATTTGTGTGTATACTCGTGTATGCTCTCAGGCCTTCACTCATGCGTGCTGTGCAAAGGTGTGCAGCATATGTGCTCAGGTTCCCATGAAGCCCAGAAGAAGGGTTCTGATCCCCTGGAGTTGGAGTTCCAGGCGAGTGACATTCATACTGGCACCCAAACTCAGCTCCTCGACAAGAACAGTGAGCACCTTTAACCAGTGAGTCAGCCCTCTCGCTCCCAATCATCATGCTTTTCAAACGTGAACTATAAATTTCAGAGATTACATATTTGAGATATCTGCAACTTTATATGATGGACAAATCCCCGATTAATACTGGTGACAATCACCAATATTATTAGTACTGTCAAAGTGAGTTACATTTTTTGGTTTTTGAAAACAGTACTTCTCTGTGTAGCCTTGGCTGTCCTGGACCTCAGTCAATAGACCAGGTTGGCCTCAAACTCAGAAATTCACCTGCCTCTGCCTCCCAAGTATGTGAGTTACATTCTTTGTTGAAAACATGCCAAATGTGGCTAAACAGAGAGGGGAAACAAAGATGTAAATTTGTTCCCATCCAAGTCATTCCTCCCTGTCCCCAAGCCCTATCCCCAGACTCTCCTGGAAGATCTGTGCTACTCAGATTAAAAACCTGCTCATAGAAGGAGCCTTCCTGGTCTCCTTTTCTTCTTAAACAGCTTTCCTTTAGAAGACAGAGGGCTGGGTTTTATTCTGGGTAACTGCTGCTCAATTTCAGGCCAGTAAGTTTGCCTCTTTTGGAAGGCAGCTATGCTCACCACTGTACCACCAACGCCCCACCAAGTTTGCCTCTTTAGGCCATAGCTTATTTTACTTGAATGGGGACTGACTGCTTATACGCCCAATTTAAAAATAAATAAATAAATAAACGCTGCCACGTATATTGGCTCACACCTTTAATCCCAGTATTCGGGAGGCAGAAGCAGGCCTGGTTTTCATGGCGAGTTCTAGGTCAGCTAGGGCTACAAAGTAGAGTCACATTTTTTTTTTCCTCCATGGATGGAATTAGGAACAGTGTTTACCTGGAAAGAGAAATAATCTGGGCTCAGAAACTCCTACAAGTGGGTGTGGAGCTATAGGAAACTGGGAACAGAGTCGTGGTGTTCTTAGCAAAAGCGGTGTAAGGGCAAAGTGCCTACAGAAAGAAAGAAGACGTCAGAAAAGTAGGAAGTCTATTCGGTGATTTGTATTTAGACTAGTTTCGGGTTTCCTGCGTGTTCACAAGCGACCCCCAGAAGGCCAGTCGAATGGACGGACCCTGAAAGAGGAGTGATCCTTTCCTGACCAGTGTTGTTAACGGACAGGCTTGGCTCATAAGCCAATCACACCCTCTAGAGGGTGGAGTTTTCATCAGTGCTTCCATCTCCAACCAATCTGAGGGAAGACAGAAGCGCACTCCTCCAATGGGAGTTGAGGAGCCCGCGGTAGTGATAGAGCCCCGATACCCTGCCATCGCTCCGCTGAGCGTCGCGTGAAGCATCCGTGATCTGCGAGATCTTGCTGTGGGCCAGGTATCCATTCTCCTGCGGCAGCTGTAGAACCTACGGAGGCTAGAGGTATCCCGCGAGAAGCAGTAAAGATGGGGTGGTGGGTGAGAGGGCGGCGGGAGGGGAGAGAACGACCCTAAACGCCTGTGGGGAGGGACCTGGCGCGCGCTTATACCTGGGCGGCCTTTCAACTCGAGGTCCGTGGGTGGTGGAGGATCTTTTTGCGTAGCAAAAAATAAAAAAAAAAAAAATTAAAAAAAAAGCGAATGCGCGTCCCCTCCAGACAGCACCCGGTGAGTACCAATGAACCCACCACCCATGCCCACCCTCTCTGAGCCTCTGGGGAAAAGATTCCGTGCAGGTCTGCTGCTCACGTGATTATCTGTGTTCCAGTCTTGACTCCATATCTGCCTCCCCCCCCCCCAACATTTTCTGTCTCTCTCTCTCTTTCTCTGAGACGTACTAAGATATCCCAGATTCAGGAGGCCTAATCCTGACCAGAGCACTTAAAACCAGCTATGAAACTTTGAATTATCCACTTTACTCATCTGGGCCTCAGTTTCATCATCCGTCAAATGGGGTCTGTCTCTACCTGAGCCAATGCGCATGCTTGGTCCCTAGAAATTTTTTTAATAAATAATGATGATCGTGATTGAAAAGAATATTAATTCTTTTAGTCTGACTTTTTTTTTTCAACCCTTGCCTGTCTCTGGCCCTCTCCTCCAGGAAATCTTTTTGAATGTTCAGTCCTCTCTCTTACCTTTCCACAACAAACTAATGCCTTTCCCATCCCTAATGTGGTTAGAGGTGCACTATTTATAGCAATGAGACTGGCCCAAGGGTAGGGCACAATATGGAGCCTGGCCTTGGGCTGCTTCTAAGTCTCATTGGGGAAAAAAACTTCTTTGTCCCTCAGTCTTCTCTATTAAACAGGTAGAGAGACACCAAGAACAGAAAGAAAATAAGATTACAAACCACTTTTTAACCAGCTGTGGTGGAGGTACATGCCTGTATTCACAGCATGCAGGAGGATTGCTACAAGTTCGAGGCCAGCCTTGTCTAACATAGTGAATTCAAAATAAATCTGGGCTACAATGTAAAATACTGTCTCAACCCTCCTCTATTCCCCATCCCCACAAAGCACTTAATAGCCCTTATGTAATGTTGGTCACCACAGGTAGTCCAGAGATCTTCTAATTATGTCTTCACATAACACTGAACATCTTTTTCAGGAGTTCTTTGAGATCAAACCTTTAGAAACCACTGTCAAGTACTATCAAATCCCGTCCCCATCCTAACTTTTGAATATCATTGCCATGCCTTTGTCATTCTGATACCTATTGATCAATATCCTATCTCGATAATGTGTAGTTTGAAATACCTCCTTCACTATTTTAAAATGAAGAGCATAGAAAGTAGAATCTACATGGACAATTCCTCCAAAGCTAATATAACACTTTACTTGTAATATAAGAGAGAAAATTTTATGCTTGTTTGTTTGTTTGTGTTTTTCTGAGACAGGGTTTCTTTGTGTACCCCTGGCTGTCCTAAAACTCACTTTGTAAATCAGGCTGGCCTCAAACTACAGAAATCTGCCTATCTCTGCCTCCTGAGTGCTGAGATCAAAGGTGTGCACCAGTACTCCAGGCTGAAGAAAAAATTATAATAAAACAGTAAGTGCTTCAGTACATAAATACTTGGATATGGCTTCACTAGAAGAAATAATGAAATAATCTTATACATCAGTTAATTACATCAAATTACCTAAATGTTGAGGAGCTATGTAACTAGAGTTGTATGCATGTGACAACTACATGTGATGGAGTGCTAACAGTGATACAGTTCCATTTCCATAAGTGATGAGTAGTTCTTCATAAAGTTCTAAACAGAAGAATGTATGAACGTCTCATAGTTTTTGGTTGTCAGGTTTCTAGGAACAAAGAAGGCCTCTAGCCTTACCTCCTAGATCTCTGCCTCCTTACTCCGTTGCACCTACAATGGTCTCCTTAGTGGCACGTGAATGTATTAGGCACACTTTTGCCTAGGTGGTTTTGTGTTAGGGTTTTCCTTTCTTCAGAATACTCTCCCCAAATATCCACAGGTCTCATGCCCTCACTTTCTTCAGGTTTCTATTGAATTGCTGTTTTCTTGTTGCGGTCTGCCATAGCCATCCTGCTTAAAAATTCCTCCTGGTCCCTACACTAGCCCAGCTTTAGCCCCTCGCATCCCACCTTCTTCTGTAGTGTGGCTTAACAGTGAAAATATATTCCAAGAAAAGTATCATTAGGTAGCTTTGTCGTTGTGCAAAATATAGAGTGCTTACTCAAACTGAGACCTTTGTGGCATCACCAAAGAATACTTATTTTATGGGATGACCATTAATTAAGTAGGTTGTTGACTAAAACATCATTATACAGTGTGTATGGTATTTACTTCGATTGTGTTTGTAGTTTATTCTCTAACTCGTCACTCAATTTTAAGCTCTAGAAAAGGGAAAGGATGTTGTCTTTTTCTCCCCTCCTGGTGGATCTGTATTACCTAAAACACTACTCGGGACATAATAGGCTCTCTTAAATAAATGTTGGCCAAATGGATAAATTATAAATGAATAAGCAGATTTTTTTTAAACCTAAATAATGGTTTGGTAGGGCAGTCTAACGTTGCATGGGACCTGGTACAATTCTTTGTTGTGTGGGGCTGTCTTGTGCACTGCAGAATGCTGGGCGTCTCTGGTTTGCCCACTAAGTGTCACTAATGCTCTCCAGTGACAGTCAAAAATGCCTCCCAAATACTCTTTGACTTGAACAGAGACCTGGCTTTCCAGGTCTTTCCCCTGATCATTCTGGCCTGCCTTTGCAGCCTCCTCGCACTTTACTAGTGAGGAGTGGAAATAGATATCCTTGATTCGAGTTGCCCTTTCCGTGGATTTTCTTTCTTTCCTGGTTAACCCTCGAATTTTGTTTTCTGGTTATTTTCAATGCTGGTGAGTGAACCCATGGTCTCTCACAAGCTGGACAAACACTCCACCACTAAGCAATTTCCAAGCCCTGTTTTCACAATATTTTAGCATTTCTTAGGATTATTCATTTTTTATGTGTATGAGTGTTTTACCTGTATGTATGTACATGAACCATGTGCGTGCCTGGCCTGGAAAGAGGTCAGAAGGGAGCATCACATCCCCAGATGGAAGTTATGGATGATTGTAAGTCACCAATTAGATTTTGGGAGCTGAACGTAGGTCCTTTGAAAGAGCAACAAGTGCTCTTAACTTCTAAATCATCTCTCCAGCCCTGTGTTTTCATATTTTTTTATAGAGATTTATTTATTTTTATGTGTTTGGCCGGCATGTGCATGCAGTGCCCACAGAGACCAGAAGAGGGCATAGTATCCTCTGGAACAGGAGTTACCGGGTGGGTTGCAAGAGTAACAAGTGCTCTTAGCCACTGAGCCATTTCTCTAGTCTGTGTTTTCAGAATTTTTAAACTTTCAAATTGTTAAACATTTCTGCAAGAGTTCAGATATCTCCTTAGTGAAATTACCTAAATGTTGAGGAGCTATGTAACTAGAGTGTATCTGTCAGAATGAATAGAGGGCATTGTCGTTTAGTTGTGCTTCCTTAGCTGGAACAGTTCTTTAATCTTCCTTGTCTTTCATTACTTCAGTTTTTAATTTTTTTTTATTTCTTAAGACAGGTTCTGTGTACATAGCCCTGGCTGTCCTGGAGCTCACTCCGTAGACCAGGCTGTCCTTGAACTCACAGAGATCTGACTGCCTCTGCCTCCTGAGGGCTAGGATTAAAAGCGTGCGCCACCACACTCTGCTGACTTTGATATTTTTGAAGTATCCTGGGGAGTTATTTAATAGAATTCCGGTTTGTGTAGATTTCGTTGTGGTTATATTAGTTTTAAGTTTTGCATTTTGCGCATGAATACCAGAAGAGATGTTATGTGTTCATTATGTTTTATCAGGAGGGACTTGATAACATTTTACCTCAGTATTCATTTTTGTTGCTTTGACTGCTTGTTCAGTGTGATGCCTGCCAAGTTTCTTTACTTTTTATAATTTTCTTTATAATTACATTCATATACTGCATCACAATGTTCTGATCAATGACAAGAATATGACACTGGTTCCATACGATTAATTATCTAGTGACATCATAGACATTGATCTGTATAGGTACATTCTGATGAAAATCACAATGAGTTCTTTAGAATATGTCTCTGTTGTTAAGCAACTCATAACTGTGCTTATATTGCATTTATTTATCTATCCTTTTATTAATTGTGTGTATGGGTACACACATGCCACAGCACATGTGTGAAGGTCAAAAGTCAACTTGTAGGAATCACCTCTTTCTCTCCTTACCCCATGTGTGTCCTGGGGATCAAACTCAGGTTATCAGGCTTGGCCACAAGCACGTTTACCTGCTGAGCCCTCTTACTGGCCCCAAACTCTGCGCGCATACGTGCATGTGTGTGCCTGTCTGAGTGTTTGCTGCTAAGGATAGAATCCAGGAATGCTGAGCAATGCCCCAAACCTGTAGTTTTTCTTCTGTATAACTAATAAGTGATTTATATTAAGATGCTCTTTCAAATCTTAAAGCATCCACTGCCCCCTCTGTGTTAGTTGTAAATATACATAACATGCAGCTGTCCCTGCCAGTCTTCTCCTAGAAGAGTTTGACCACATGAGCTCTCACTTCCCTCCCTGTCTGCCTGGTGCTGGGCATCTAATCCAGGGCCTCGCACATGCTGCTGAAAGGTCTTTCTACAGCGCTAGTCACTGTCATCCACTTTTGAAAAATATCCTTCTAGTCTCACTGTAGGTGATCTTAATAGACCCAGAGATGGCCTTTGTCATATCTCATCTGGCAGCTCTGTGACCCACTCTCCTAGCACCCAGAATGACAGTTTCATATCTTTTCTCTTCTGAAATCTCTGTGCTCTGATCTTCATCAGAGGCTTTCTGCTTACCTGAAGATTTAAAGCTATCAGAAAAAAATGTCCATCACTCATGAGGCTGAAGCATGAGAACCATCATTTCCACGCAAGATCCTGGCTCATAAA